ACCTGGAGGGTATTTTGCTGAGTGGAATGTGTCAGACAATGAAAGACAAATGCAATATGATTTTGCTTATATGTGGAATCTAAAGAACAAAATAAACAAACAAACAAAACAGAAGCAAACTCATAGATACAGAGAACATTTTGATGGTTGCCAGATGGGTGGGGAATTGGAATGGGTGCAAAAGGGGAAGGGATTAAGAACTACAAATTGGTTGTTACACAGTAGTCATGGGGATGTAGGGTATAGCATAAGAAATATAGTCAATAATATGGTAATAACTATGTATAGTGCCAGGTGGGTACTAGACTAGTAAGGGAGATCACTTGTTAAATTATATAAATGTCTCACCACTATGCTGTACACCCGAAGTTAATATAAAATAACATTGAATGTCAACTATAATTGAAAATTTTTAAAAAGGAGGAAAAAGGTGAAAGGGAATAAGAGGTTCAAATTTCCAAGTATAAAACAAATAAGTCTTGGGGATGTAGTGTACAGCATAGGGAATATAGTCAATAATATTGTGATGGCGTGGTACAGTGTCAGATGGTTGCTGGACTTATCATGGTGATCACTTCTTTAAATATATAAGTGTTGAATAACTATGGTGTACACATGAAACTAATATAATATTGTATGTTTGCTATATTTTAATAAAAATACTTTTTAAAAGAAAGTGATATAAGGCTATTAACCAATGTTATCCCAATAAAAATAATATAAAAAATAAATAAATAAAAAGAAAAAATTAACACAATATAGATCAAAGACCTAAACATAAGACATAAAATTATAAAACTCTTACAAGAAACAAGGGAAAACATCATGACATTGGATTTGGAAATGATTTCTTGGCTATGATATCAAAAGTATAGGCAACAAAAGAAAAAATAGATAAATCGGTTACAGCAAAATTAAAATATCCTATTCATTAAAGGACAGAATCAGCAAAGTGAAAAGGCAACTCATAGAATGAGAAATTATATATCTGATAAAGTGTAATATACAGAATGTATAAAGAACTCCTACAACACAACAACAACAAAAGAGCTGATTTTAAAATGGACAAAAGGACTTGAATAGGCATTTCTCCAAAGAAGATGTACAAATGTCCAATAAGCTCGTTGAAAGATGCTCAACATTATTTGTTAGGAAATGCAAATAAAAACCACAATGAGATACTACATCACACCCATGAAGATAACTATCATAAAAACAGAAAATGACGTGTTGCTGAGAATGTGGAGAAATTGAAATCTTAGTGCACTCTTGGTGGAAATGTAAAATGATGTTACCACTGTGGAAACAAAGAGGCCATTCTTCAAATAATTAAACATAGAATTACCATATGACAATAATTCCACTTCTGGGTATATACACAAAAGAATTAAAAGCAGAGACTTGAACAGATATTTGTACACCCATATTCATTGCAGCATTATTTACAATAGCCAAAAGGTGGAAGCAACCTAAGTGTCCATCAGTGGGTGAATGAATAAACAAAATGTGGCATATACATGCAATGGAATATTATTTGGCGGAAGAAGGAAAATTCTGGTATATTCTATAATATGGATCTACCTTGAGGACATTGAGATCAGCGAAATAATTCACAAAAAGACAAATACTGAATAATTGCACTTATATGAGGACTCTAATGTAGCCAAACTCACAGAAAATAGAATAGTGGTTGCCAGGGGATGGGGAGTGTTGATTGATGTGTACAGAGTTTCAGGTTTTTAAAATGAAAAGGGTTCTGAAGATGGATAATGGTGATAGTAATACAACATTGTGAATGTATTTACTGGCACCAAACTGTACACTTAAAAATAGTTAAAATAGTAAATTTTATGTTGCCGTATTTTGTCATGTATAATGCACACTTTTTTGCCCAAATTTGCGGGGGAAAAATAAGGATGCACATAATATATGGGTAGTACTAATTCTGTATCTATATAAATGTTTTTAACTATTTTATTTACACTTATGAGTTAAAAGTGTAACTCTAGAAATCAATAACCGTATCCATATGCAAATATACCCTGAAATATGATAATCAGTGTTGTTGAACTTACAACAAACTTGCAGCAGCGAAGAGTCCTTGGCCTTCTATGATGCGTAAATAGCGTAATGTTACCAGTACATAAAATTTCTTGTACCTTGTATTTGTTCTTATGTTTTGTAATTATTTTTTATGTAAAATTTCTTGTACCATATATGTTAAAAAACAAATGCTAAAATGTCCTTATAATACAAAAAACAAGTACCTAAATGTAAACAAATAAAATTTTGAATTAAAAAATTAAAATGAAAGATTTTTTTCCTTGAAAGTTTGGGCTGAAAACATGGGTAGGCACTCGCATACATGGCATAATATGGTATATATACTATTTTACCACCATAAACACCACCAGCAACAACAACACAATGACAAACATAACACAAGAAGCCGAGAGAGGTAAATGGAGTCAAATTTTTATATGATTCTTGTATTGCTAATAAGGTAGTGAATGTACTAATTTAAGGTAGACTGTAAAAATCAAGTATGTATAACTAAAAGAATTATTAAAGAATGTATAACTAAAAGTTAAGAGAAGGTAAAATAATTACTAAAATAATCCATAAGAGCCCGAGAAAGATAAGACTGAGAAAATATTTTTTAGTTGCATAAAAACACGTATTTTCTTGTCGTAAGTCACGTCCCAATAAATAAGCACATTGAGAACTTTCACAAAGTATCATTCTTACTCTCCTATCCAGGGGGAGAAGTGTGCGAAAAAATATATATTGTTACATTTTTTTCCTTACCAAAATATTCTTTTAAGTGCCTAGATTTCAAAAAGTGTTATAGGGCCAGCCGAGTGGCGCATTGGTTAAGAGCTGGCTTGGGACGCCAGCTCTGAGCAGCAGGGCCCCGGTTCGGATCCCACATGAGGGCCAGTGACACTGCCCTCTACAGCTAAGATGGTGAACAACAGCTCAACCTGGAGCTGGGCTGCTGTGAGTCACCGGTGACGGAGTAGGCTGCAGCCCCTGCTGCAGTGAGCTGCCATAAGCTACTGTGAGTGGCTGGCAGCCAGCATGAGCAGCTGGCATCTGGTGTGAGCTGCCAAGAGCCACTGCAAGTGGCCGTCCAATGGCTGGCGACCGACCTGCCTCAGTTGGGAAGAGCGCAATGATAATACCGACATGGGCCAGTGAAGCAATGTCCTCCACAACTAGACTGAAGAACAAAAGGACAGCAACTTGTCTGTTCCCCCTCCCCCAATTCCCCAATAAAAAATCTTTAAAAACAAAAGAGTGTTGTAATGTTTCATGAAACTGGCTATCTTAATTAATAATTTCCCACCCCAGAAATAACACTTAGCCATGACTGTTTTTCTGAATTTAAGTTTCTTTATTAAGGCAGTTGAATACCTTTGGCATCTCTTCCTTCCTTCACCCTCTATGCTTTTCCTGCTCTTACTGGAAGCATTTAAAGGTTTGTTGTCTCTGGTCATCTTCAACTCAATACTTATGTTTTCCTTATTTCTCAAATTTGTACTCTGTAAACCTTTTTAATCTATGGGCATATTTTCTAAGTTTTATTCTTTCTTACTGTATTTTGGGAGAGTTTTCATTCTGACATTCCACCTGTCTGACTCTTTGCTCATCTTTTATTTACCATTCTAATATTTCATCTATTATGTTTTATTTTATCTATTATACTACATACCAAATATTCCTACCTGTTTTTTTTATGATATTTGTTTCGACTTGCATGTTTAATGACCTCTTCATATACGTTTTCATTCTTGTTTTTTATTCCATAAGGATTGGGATCATGCCTACTGTATCCTAGGGCCTAACAGTACCTGAAACAGGATGTTTTAAATAAATGTTTGCTGAAGAAGTTAGAGTTTAGAGGGAGCGAGAAAGAAGGAAACACAATATAGGTATGGAAGAAATGCAACTCCCTTTATGATATTTTAATAATATGAATTAATCACCCCTCCCAGGCCTCATCCTACTGTTTTGTTAGGAATCGGTCTCAATCCTTGTGAGCATACTGTTTCCAACTCTTATTTTTCCCAGGGTGCTAGACTAGACACAGCAGAAGGCCTGAGTGTGTGTGAGGTGGAGGTGGGGGTGGGGAGAGGCATCTGTTCATGGGAACAGCTTTCCAGAGAAGTTGCTGTTGAGATGTCTAGTGGCCAGACCCACATGGTTTCCTAATATCCCACAGATCTCAGCTTCCTCTCTGCCATGCTTCAGGCATGGGAATATTTGTGTGGCTGCTTCTGTCCTTACCTTCTTGGAAGCATCATGCAGCTCTTCCCTATGTAGAGGTTGATGCCTTCCTATGAGTTTGCCACAGAAGCAGGGAGCAAGTACTGTCTCTAGAATCCTATAGATGCCTTTTTCTCTTCTCCATCCCCCGACTTCAAAGAGAGTCTCCTTTTGGAAGGAAGAAAAGTCTTTCTCTCCACATGTTTCTGATGCAAATTCCTTTCTACATTCTGCCTTTCTCATTCTGGGAATAGCATGAACAAAATTAAAAAGACTCAAGCCGTCTCTTTCACGTTGCCACACCCCTCCTCATGAGGCCAGGATTATATACTTTAATTGGAGTGGAATAAAAAGGGAAACACCAAGAAAAAAAAAAAGAAAGAAAATAGCTTGCCACAGAAGGAAGGGAAGAAGCGAGGAAAGAATTGACCTATCCTCTTATTCCTTCTCAGAAGCAACTTAGGTATTCAGTGAAAGACCTAGGTTTTCTAACAACCTGCAGGATATCTTGATCTTGCTCTTAAGGTGCTCCCCCCTCCCCAAAGGGGCCAAGACAGAGAATCTAGAAAAAGAGAGGGCTTTTTCTTACACAGGCTGAAGACAGAGACTTGTGTTTGCAATCTGAAATGCTTTTAGTAAATCACTGTGAAGAGGCCATGGCAACAATGTCACCCAGAGTTTGGAGCCACAGAAGGACCAGCAATTTCTAGGATCAATCCTTGTGAGTGTGCTCAAACATCCCCAAGATCATTGCACAAGTCATTGCTTCTGCAACACCTGAGGTTCACAAAATAGGTACTCCATTTTATGTTGTTCACATTAGCACAGCTCCTTAGGCAGCCCAGGAAGGTTAACCAGAGAGTACCATCATCTGCAGAAGGGAGGAGAGACAGATCAGCAAAGAGGCTTCTCCCAAGAAGCTTTTTTTCCAGCCTACACCAACATATAAAAACAACCTCTTGTACTTTAAGGCTATTGTTCAAATGTGAAGAGTTGGAAGATGTTGCAAGTTGGGGGTTTCCCAAAATGAAAGGTAGTGGTAGAGCGGTTTAAAAAGAGTATTTAGGGTGGGGAGATAATAACGGCAGCAATTCTGGGATTGCCAAGCCTGGATGTTTCCATTGAGAATCAGCACTGATTTCAGTAAGGGTTATAAATGCCAAAAGGGATCACTTGGCATAAAGAGTAGAAAAATAAAGAAATCATGATGTTTAGTCTTACCCATCAAGGGCCATTTAGCCAGTCTATTGCTAACCCCGGCCCTCTATTTCCACAGTTTAAAACCTCCCACAAGGAATTTCAGACAAGGACCAAGACAATGAGCTGCCCTCTCCAATCCAACACCCAGTTGTTCTCCATTGGCCATAATGTGCTTCTCCTCTCACCTCCATGGTCTCTGTTTCCTTCAGGCTCCTCAAAATACTGGCTCTATAGTTACAGACTCCTGCCGTTTAGTGATCACCCTCATCTGTTTTCATTATGGCATGAGATAGAGGTAGAGATACCAGCCACCCCAGGACTGAGACCCCCTGAGTAAATTGAGGTCCCCCCTTTTTACTATGGTTGACACATCTCTGTCTGCTTCTTCTTCCTTCTCCCAACCCACAACTTACTTTTGAAAATCTTCCCAATTGTGCAAGCCTCATTCGCTGTTGCAGTACATACTCCTCTGCCTCTGGAACACTTCTCTCCTGGAAACTGGATGTGGCACGTCCTACACTGAATAATTTCTATAATTTGGGCCAGAGAGGAGGGAAATAGAAGTGAGAGCAGACCTCACACACTGTTGTCAAAGGACCCATCTCTCCTATCAGGATGGACATCTGCTTGGAACCTGGAGGGCTTTGCCAGAGACCCATTAAGTGTGGGCACGGACCTTTATTAAAATTGGCTAAGCCAAGAGAGGGACCGGGGTTATGGTCTCAAGAGTTTTAGCCTGAAAAAAATGGGAGGGGGAAGAAAGGTGAAGGGATAAGGAGAAAAGGAACAAAATCAAGACCAAGATAATCAGATCAAGTCCTCTTCATACTTATCAGGAAAATGCTTTTCATTAACAAATAGTTTGTGGACTGTGCTGGCAAAGAGATATAAAGCATAAAACAAATCTGCAATTTTGCCTGAGATTTACCCCAGCATAAGGCCCTTGTAACCCTTGTAAATCATGGGGTCCTCCAGGCCCGTTCTCCAAAGCCTGGTCACCTCTGGACCCCTTCCCTCCTTTTAATTCTCTTCCCCTCCACAGACTGCCCGCACCCATCCTTATAGGATGCAGCACAGACCAGGAGGAGAAAGATAAATGCGCTTCTTTTTTTAACTGCATTCCCCGTTTTTTAATTGACCCTATGTGGCTTTCTTTTCTTATCCAGACACGTGTCTGGAAGCTGACAGTGAGGAAAAGCATCTGAAATTCATTAAGTTGCTGCACTTTAGATTTTGCCAGCTGGTGTCTGTAAAGTCAAATTTTTACTTCCCCCTTTTCCTTTTTATTGTCCTTTATTAACTCACCCTAAGCCCTGTCTATTGCTGTTTGTGTTTTTTTTTTCTTTTTCTCAAACTTAAAAAATCAACTCTCACCCCAGCCCCATCCTGCTAGAAGAGTTTGCTGAGTGTTGAAATTTAAAGTGTATCCCTGGGTTCCTTTCAATCCCCAAAGCACACCCTGCCCCAGTCATCTCCCCTGCTCCTCCAACCTTCCCCTCCCATACCCCGATCCATTTCTACTCACTTGTTTGTTCACTGTATGAAAATGACCCAGATAGTACTGTTGGGAAGAAAGAAAAAAAAGATACATTCTCTGCAGACCTCATTTTTGGACACCCCACCTACAGTTCTTGTGAAAATGAAAATCCTCTCAATTCCTTTTTAATCCACCTATTTCCTCCTTCAGGGGAGGACTAAGACATGGTGCGTTGTGGTGGAAGGCATTAGAATGACAGTTTTGTTACCTGAGGGCTCCCATAGGAGGACCTCTGTCATGGGAACCCTGGCTTGTTCCAGAGTCCTTGACACATCTCTCCAATGGTCAACCCGAGGGACTTACCTCTAAAGCAGCAGAGGAGGACAGGGAGTCCCAGCAGGAGGGCCTTGTCCATTTTGGAAAGAGAAAGGAGCAGGTTACAAGAAGTTGCAAGGTGACTATTTATACATCTGCCAGGCTGGGCTTCCCCAGGAAAGTTCTAGGGGCGGGGACACTGTGGAACTCCTTCACCGGCCATCCTTCTCCTAAGGAAACCAGTGACTGTTATTTCTCTTTTTGCCAAATTGGAGGGAGAGGGACTGGCTAGGTAAGTCCTGCAACTGATTCAGTCCAGTCCTACTGCTCAGGACTTCCGATGCCATGTTCCATGGTCTTTTCATTATTCCAAACTGTGGAAGAGTACAAGGGGAGATCAGGGCTTGCTGGGTAGGGTTCAGAGTCATCTTCGCTGAGGTGCTCATTAAAGCTGAGAGAATATATGAGCACAAATAATTAGAATACAGAAAGGCCAAAAGAAGGCTGAGCACAGAGCCTTAGAAGGCATACTGTAGGGACTGGGGAAAGGTTAGGCTCAGAGGTAATGACAGAGGATTCTTATGAGGGGAGTAGTTTCCTACCATCAATCATCCTGGAACAAAGCAAACCCTAGGGTAGAAGGTGGGCATTGAAAAGGGAACTGCTCCCTGTTCTTAGAGTTCCTGGTGGTTGAGACTTAGACTTTTGTTAGGAGATAGATTTTTGAGATGACTTCTCCTGGAGGCAGGTAAGCTGGTCCTTCCCACTAGATGTCAGGCCAGGTAGTAGGGGGTTTCAGCTCCATTCTGAGAGTGATTAGAGATTCAATTAGAGAGGTGGCCGAATGTAAAAGTCCCATGGATGGGACTGAGATTTTGGCTTCTAAGAACAGCCATACCCAGTATCTTAGTTTAAATTTCTGTTAGTTTCATTCAGTTATTCCTATACCTTCAACAAATTGTAATGGAAGCTTAGGCTCTGCTGTCATTGCAAGGAATTGATGGTAGGGTCTATGCCCATGCTTAGGGCAAAGCAATATGGGGGAGAAATAGCAACTGGAAGGAAGCAGATTGTAATAAAGCACAATGTAAGTCGATAGCAAAGTGGGTAGTGGTCTCAGCCAGATGTTGGCTGAAGAGGTATGGGGTGACAAGAGTGATGAAAGAGATTTTCTCTACAATATATTAGAAGTTATTATTACATACCAAAATGGCATTTTTGTGCAGGGAGGAAGGAGAAAGAGAGGTATAACTAGTTAACTGCTTTTCTGGGACACCTAGAACCCTGGTGAAGCTGTGAAATAACACCATGAAGTATTCATGTATCACACACACACACACACACACACACACACACACACACACACACTGATTTTTGTGTTATTCATATTCACTATCAGATTGCTTCCTTTCCCTCCTCTCATTGTCTGAAATTTAGCATCTCTTCTTGCATCTTTACATTCCTTTCTCTGACATTTTGAGATCTCTCCTCTTTCCTTCTGGGAAGTCCATATTTAATTATTTGGCTGATGGCAGTCCACAAGAAAGGGGGAAGGATTCTCTTCTTCCGACCCGCTGAAACTGTCTCCTCACCTAATTGCAGTTCTATGATAGTATTATATCATTTCTCCTAAAGCAGAACCCTCACCCCACCCCCAGTTTTACTGATCCACCTGGATTCTTTGCTTGTATTTGAACCTCATTTTATTGACTTACTTTTTTCCTAAAATCTCCTCACATTGATAATCTCAGCCTTAGTATCTCATAATACCTGATTTTCTCACTGGGCCCCACTCTGTTCCTTTTCTCATCACCCCTACTCCTTTTTCTTATCCTCCTAGGGCACCCCACAGTAATTCTTCTTATGTCATAAATTTCAAACCCATGACTTAAAAGTTTTGAGGAATGAATCCTTTTTCCCTGTTGCTCTAAACCTTATTTAAGTCTCCATGGCACTTTTACTCATGATGCCCCTCTCTCCATCACAAAGGTCTGCGGGTACAGTTAGACCAGAAGTGAAGCCCAGGGTTTATCTCAACTGGAAGTGACTTGGTAGGTCCTCAGTTATGTCTGTATGTGTGTGATTAGAAGATGTTTGTATTATGGGCTAGGATTTTTGCTTTGCATCTACAATGGCATGCAAAATAATAAAAAATGGAATTTCTTGAAAGGAGATTCACTTTTCAGTCAGTTATTTTTCAAAGAAACAATCTACTCTCTATAGGGAATATAGCAAAATATCTTGAAATTCATTGGTAAACAAGGTATTTTCACTGAATGACCTTTTTGAATAGGTTAATGGAAGGGCCGTTGGTGAGTACCAGGATCTGAGGAAGGAGATCTCAGCTAAGGCAGCTCCCACATATGACAAGGAGGGCTGGCAAGATGAAGAACCCCAGTCACTGTTCCCACAGGACACCAGCGGACTTAGGCTCCTGGGATCTCCCAGTACTCATGGGACCGTACGCCAGTGATCTGGCAAGGAAAGAACAGTTTTTTCCAGATCAGAGCTTGAAGGAATGGTCAGATCAGAACAGCCTGTCTCTTTTCCCTCCGGCAGGTGAATAGCACAGCTCCAGGCAACTGAGACCCCGTGAAACCAGAGAAGTTCTACCCTCTTGAGGGATATGAAAACAGAAAATTTTCAGACAATATGTGCAGATCCAAAAAAAAACATAAAAGAAGCACCTCTGGGGAGCCTGTGTGTGTGTGTGTGTGTGTGTGTGTGTGTGTTGTGTGTGTGTGTGTGTGTGTGTGTTCTTTTCTACCATGAGACTCACCATCTGTGAGGATTTTCTGGGAATCTCAGGATTGTTCAAAATATTCACAATTCCTTAGATAGTTCCTTTCTGTGATGCTGAGGGCTGAAGAAGATAATATGGACATTGAAGTGACTAAGTAGGTATGTCTAGGATTCAAGGGAGAGGAAGTAGCCAACAGCCTATCTATTGCTCCTGTTTTATTTAACAGCTCAAATAAAATGTCTTATACTTTCAATCTGCTGTATCAACAAACCTAGGTATCACCAGGAGAACGCTTCCTAAGAGTGACCTCGGTTAAGGAGAAATTAGGACCTCCTCTTCTACTCTCCAAGTTGAATTCACCAGTACCTGAAGCTATACTCAGAGATCTTTTTGCAAACTGCCAGCACTCCCAAGGTGACACATAGCCCTCCATATTAATGAGTTTATGACATGTTTTTACATGGATCCCTTCAGATTATAAAAATGATCTCTCTGTGTTCAGAGAGACTGGCCCTGACCAGTTTACTGAAGCAGACTTCCCCTTGTTATTTCCTGTGTGGGTGTGTAGATGTGGGGTTTTCATATTGGTGAAAAATGATACACATACCAAAAGAGGTATACAACATAAAAAGCACATCTTAAATTTTTTTTTAAATTTTTTATTGGGTAACAGTATGTTTTTTTCAGGACCCATCAGCTCCAAGTCAAGTGGTTGTCCTTCAATCTTAGTTGTGGAGGGAGCAGCTCAGCTCCAAGTCCAGTCGCTGTTTTCAATCTAGTTGCAGGGGAAGAAGCCCACCATCCCATGTGTGAATCGAGCCGGCAACCTTGTTGTTACGAGCACATACTCTAACCAACTGAGCCACCCAACCACCCTTTAAATTCTTTTAAAGTATATGATGTAACTATGAACCAGGTCAGGAATTTGAATATTGCCAACACCACAGAAAATCCCCACATCAATGCTCCTTCCTATCTACATTCTCCTTTTTCCTCATCTAGTGGGAAATGTTATCTTTTCTCTTATGGAATTTAACTATTGTTTGTTTTATAGCTTTACCACACTATATTTTTGCTTATTTTTTGAATATCAATATAAATAGAATCAAATGGTATGTATTCTAGAAATTATTCATGTTTTTGTATGAAATTGTTTTTTTTCTATATACCGGGGGTGCCAAAAAAATGTATACAAGTGGACACTTTGGTCAGCGTTGCTCAAGCAGTAGTTCTCCGTAATCAGAAGTGTCTGGACGCTCATGCTAACCATTCTGAGCACCTCTTGTAATTGCAGAAGTCAAACGTGACTTGAATTCATCTTTTGTTATTGGTATGTATTGCGTATTACAATCAATACAGTTTTTCTTTCTTAAAATGTGAATATATATTTTGGCGCCCTCTGTATTATTCCATTATGTGAATATTAGAGCTGAAAACTTTCCATTATCCCTGGAAAATATCATCTCAGAGATTCAAGAAAACAAAACTCTAAGCAAGGGAAATTTAAAAATCTAGCATTATATGATAAACCCACAGCTAACAACATCATACTCAATGGGGAAAAGCTAAAACCATTCCCCTTTAGATCAGGAACAAGACAAGGCTGTCCACTTTCTCCACTTTTATTCAACATAGTTCTGGAAGTTCTAGCCACAGCAATCAGACAAGAAAAAGAAATAAAAGGCATCCATATCGGTAAGGAGGAAGTAAAATTGTCATTGTATGCAGATGACATGATACTATATATAGAGGACCCCAAAGAATCCATCAAAAAACTATTGGAACTAATAGATGAATTCAGTAAGGTAACAGGATACAAAAGCAATACTCAGATATCCGTTGCATTTGTATATACCAATAATAAACTATCGGAAGGAGAAATTAAGAAAATAGTTCCATTTACTATCACTTCAAGAACTATAAAATACTTAAGAATAAATTTAACCAAAGAAGTAAAAGACCTGTACTCTGAGAATTATAAGACACTGAGGAAAGAAAAAGAAGAAGATACAAATGGAAAACCTACCATGCTCATGAATAAGAAGAATTAATATAGTTAAAATGTCTATACTGCCTAAAGCAATATATAGATTCAATGCAGTTCCTATCAAACTACCTAGAGCGTTTTTCACAGAAATAGAAAATATAATCCAAAAATTTATATGAAACCAAAAAAGACCCTGAATAGACACGGCAATCTGGAGAAATAAGAAAAAAGTCGGGGGGATCACGCTACCAGACATTAAAATGTACTACAAGATTACAGTAATCAAAACAGTATGGTACTGGCATAAAAACAGGCACATAGATCAATGGAACAGAATAGAGAGCCCAGAATTAAATCTAGGTGTATATGG